GGCATAAGCTTTGCAAGTATCTTTTCGTGATGATGATGAAACAAAAACAAAATAACAATGTCTTACTTCTCCAAGAACTCAAGAATATTCGAGATTAAAAAAAAGGGAAAAATCTATCATTTCGAGTTTTTGTAAAAAATTCAAACCATTTTTAGGATTTTTTCGAAGATATATCATTAGAATAAAAAAAAAACTAGTAGAAGATATGATAGAGAAAACATAACTAGGAAAGATTGAAAAAAAAAAAAGATTTGCAGAGGAAAGCTTGAAAGTATTGAGTAACGAGGAAGGAAGACGTAAAAAAATTTAAAGACAAAAAGAGGTAAAATTAAAAAAAGAGATTTTCACCTATCAAACACATTAATAAAGAAAAAGATGAAAATTCCTTATTAATTCATGTCAGAAGTCATATCAAGACAATGAAAAGACTAATAAGTGGCAATGTTATTAATATATACACTTGGGTTTCTTTGTCTCTAATACTTAGCTCAATTTCTCAATATTTATGTAAAACATTTGAACTAAAAAATTAAATTCATTCATTTTCATTTTTAGCATGTGAGTTTTGGGGACTTATGTATCTACCTAAATTTTTCCTCCAAATAATTACACTGATGTCCATTAAATACTCGTTATAAAAGGAATATTCTCATTTAATATTATATTAAATACATTAATAAATATCATTTATTACTTAAAATAATGGATAAGAAAAAACTTATAAATTATATTATTTCATGATATTATAAAAATATCTAAAAATATTCATATGTTGATTTAATTATCAAAGTATCTTTTTAAATAAACCTCCTCACTTTTTTTATTTGACAAAACTCGAACTAGATGGTTTATGATAAGATTGACTAGTTCAATATGTTTATATTGTTCTTCTTATATATTTTTTTATAAAAATAATTAATATTTAGATTTTATGTAATAATAATGTTTAAATCAATAAAATGTGTAAAATAACCTATATGTTATTAACAAATATAATAAAACAATTATCTTGAATATATAATTTTATTATACTTAAAATACATAGTAAATGAGTTAAAAAAATATAAAATAAAATTAATAGATATAAAGGTAAATTTAAATATTAAATTTGAATTGTATTTTTAATTAACATAAAATCATGATTTATACTTCTTCCTTATATTTATCGATGAAAATAAATGAAATTGATTGGTGAAAGAATTCATTTTTAGTTCATCTCTATGTTAATTTTAAATTTATTTCATACTTTACGACGATACTGTAAATTTAACTTGAATATATTTGGAGGAGTCAAAAACATTATAATAACATTAAAAATTTTAAAAAACATGGGAACCATTATGTGTTGTCGGAAAAAATAACTATAAATTCGATGATAAATTTTGTAGGACATGTTTGGAAAATCATGTTTCTTATTCTAACTAATATAATTAATGTCGCAAAATATGGATTCGCATTAATAACTTATTGTTGCATACAAAATAATTTTAGTTTCATTATTGAATATTTTGTCCTTATACATTAAAAAAATAGTATTATTAAGAAATTGATATATTCTGGAACATTAACGTTTTAATGATTAAAAAAAATACACATATAAATTATTACTAATTTTGACTCTTAAACAAAATGTGAAATGGAACAGCTCTTATAATTATTATTTTTACATTAATAAAAGTTTAATCAATATATTTATAGAAAAATATGAATTTAATTTCATTGAAGAAACTACATTTTAAGTGTTTTATAAAGAACTCAAATAATACAAATATTTTTTATTGCATAAATATTAAAATGAATTAAATTTGACATACTTGGAAAAAATATTAAGTATTAAAATTAATTTATCAGAAGCTGTTTTTTTTATCTATATTATATTAATTTATAATAACATATATTACTTTTCTATATCAAAGTTATCTATCATATAAAATTTTAATATTTAAAATCCATATTATTTGAACAATAATTATCGTTATTAAACAATAAAAATAAGATATACAATATCATATTTAACTCTTAATTTTATGATTAACGTGTTCATGAGTTTTTATGTACTATTTGAATTGAAATATAATTAATAGTATATGTTTTGTTTAACTTATACGTAAATAAATAATTTTTTTTAAATGTGAACAGGTTCCATAGCCCGTAATGGAGAAGAGTTTGAGTTTTAACTTCATACTTGCTACTAATAAGAACTATAATTAAATGCAAACCATATAATTATATAAGAATAGTTAAAATTGAAAGAAAAATAGATATAGTTTTGTTAGTAAAAAATCGACATAAAAATCGAGAAATAAAAGAAGAGGATTGGATGATTATTGTTAAAGAAATTCGAGAATTGGAATCGAGAATCGAAAGAAATACGAAGAAATTCGATGATCGGGGAAGTAAAAATCGATGAAAGGTATTGAGTATGAAGTTACATGGAAAGCCAGAAACAGTTTTAAATACTCGATGGTTGAGGTCAAGATCAAAGGAACGGTTATCACGCACATGGAACGTGGGAAACGGTTTTCTCTAAACCGCAGCTAAGATAAAAATCGAGAGATAGTTAACGTACGTGTACATGGAACGTGGTAGCAGTTTTCTAAACTGCTCTTAGGAGGTTACGTTGAAGCAGAACCTATAAATAGAATGAAGTATGAAGAAGAAGGGGAAATTGACAGAGACAACAGAAGCGCAAGTGAACAGTCTACAGGAGAACGACGCATCATGACGTTTCTAATGCTTTGGATTTCCGTTTTTATTGATTATCTTTATCGTTTTCTCTACTTTCCCTGGTAATTTACTTTCATTGCAGTTTACGTTTGTCAAACTTTAAGTTTTGTCCTTTCGATTCCTTGTCATTTACTTTTATGCAAGTTAAGGTTATGCGTCTAAGATCTTCGTCATTTACATTTCTACAATTTTGATTTCCTGCAATTTACATTTCTATAATTTCGATTCCTTGCCTTTTACACTTAATGCAAATTTGAGGTTTTCACACTTTACATTTTTCTGCAATTTAATATTCTGCACTATCTTTCGATTCGACACTTTTTATTGTTTTCTTTACTTCGCGTTTCTTAATGAAAAATACAAAAAATAGTACTTTCGATTTGCATACTAAGTTGTGTTGTTTACATTTTTGAAACCATGGGATTTTCGATTCTCATGCATTTTTCGATTGAAAACCGTTTGCTAGCCTAAATAAAAAGAATTTACGTGGTTAAAATTTGGTTAGAACTTAAGTCTTTGAAAAATCAAAATCGATCAAATTTTCACCAGAAACAAGTTTTAAGTGATCATATGATACGAACACTTTTTAATATTGAGTTAAGTAAACATAGTGACAATTAATATAAAATAGTGGAATGATAGAAAATTATTTTATACTGAAAATGAATATTTATTATCTATGATTGAATAACAATGTAAAAAAAATCATTATGAAAACCTAATAATTAAGTTGTTATAATTATTTTAAGAGTTGTATATGTTAATGAATTAACTATATACTCGTTTTTAATTGATTATATCAAGATAAACATAATAAAGAAAGTGAGGCATTTCAAAGACTAAATCAATTTTGTCTGTATCAAAAGGAACATATAAAATTTGTCATAATTTAAAACATGAATTAAATAGTCATTATAATTTTATACTCTATATTCGATAAAAGAAGTATCAAATAAAGACCCATTAAAGGGAGAGTCAAAGACAGTGAATAAGAAAAACATTGCTACGTACTCGTCGTTGTTTTGTTTGATTGTATTAGAAACCGGTCACTTGTTCTTGACAAAGTAAGTGCATTGATTCTGGTCCTAGGTTCCCTTTTTACAATTTATATTTTTTTTTGACACATTATTATTAGTTTAGAATTTATAAGTATGAATTATTTTGAAATAATTATAAACAAATGGTATTATCCTAATTTTATTATTTTTACTAATAAAATGTCACAATAGTTAAACGATTAGTTGCTATGGGTAAAGGTGGCGGTGACTGATAGATAGGTAAGGATTATTTTGGAAATTCGAAAAATGCGATCTAAATTAAATGGACGGCGCGTTTTCTTTTAAACCCACCACACACGGCGGATAGACGGTGCGTGCCAACCATCACAGTGATTTCCCATCTTTTTTATACAATGTTTCAAAACAAGAAATATATAATAAAATTTTATAATGGAGAAATGAAATTTAAAAAAAAAAAAACTTGATTATAAACTTTGGTACTGATTTTGTTAGACATAAAATTTAAAATTTAAAAAAGAAACAGAAGAAATATCGTGTGTTTGATTTTCATTGGTTTACATGAACAATGAATAGACCAAAAACAGCTAACTCTTTCATTTAAAGGCGCAGCAAACTGTTTCACACTGTGCTGACTTATGGTCGATGGCCGTACAATTCATTGCCTATGTCACAACAAAATCAGCTTACTTTGCAATGTGTCATTCTTCCCTTACTTGTGGTAAAGTGACTTCAAATTCCAAGCTTGTAAAAGCATCTTCAGACTTTTTGGAGAGAAAAAATCTTTTGCATGTGCACCTGTTAATTATTACTAGAGAAAATACAGTGTACAAATAGTTTTTTTTTTTTTTTACTAATTAATATTACATTTGTTAACTTTTATTATTATTATTATTATTATTATCTTATCTATTTTTTTTAGATATTATCTTGTACTTATCATGTACACTGCTTTTTCTTTCTTGCATTGCTTTCTTCAAAAATTAAGTGTTCGTTTATATCTTTCCGAATCCTCTCTTGATCTATCATCAATTAATTCACAACAGAATATACAGGGTGGTGGGGAAATAGAATAGAAAGAAAAGAAAATTAATAAATGTGATGGTGATAAAGAAAAGAAGAAAATGGATGTATATTTATATTTATCGTATTACTACTTTACTCAGGTATAAGAGGAAATTGTAGAAGCCACAATCTCCACTGTGTATATTGAAAAGAGAAAGAAATAATAGTATTGTATGAAGCAAAATGCGTACCCTATTGTTTTTGTGAATAAAACTTGCGAGTCCTAGCATGAAGAATCAAAGCCAAAAGAGTTCCAAGGAAACAGAAGGAACCCCATATGATAAAAGTGTTTCTGTAGCATTCCATGCCCATGCATTGCCCTTGATCATCATGTCCATGTCCATCTTCTTCCTTACGGTAAATAAGTGCAGCTGAATAGCCAAATAGGAAGGAGCCAATAGGAATGTTGGCCACCACCACATTATGGTTCACTGAGAAATGCTGGGTACCAAATAGCTCAGTGGTTGTGGAAACAGCAATGGAAGTGATTGCTCCAGTGCACACTCCAATCACTGCAGTGCTGATGTAAAGGGCAAGGTCTGTTTTGTTCAGAAGTAGGAAAAATGCACCTGATGTTGGAACCATCACTGCCAACAGAGAAGCAGGTCTTGAAAGTCTACATTTTCCACTGAAAAGAAAACAAAAGATTGGCTTAGTAGTGAAGAGTTAAGATAATTTGTATAGAATTTTATGTTTAAACTTTATTGGAAAGTAGTGGTGGTTTGTTTTACAGTTTTGTTCATCTTCATTATTATCCTAGTAGATCAACTAACACATGTGTAGCCATTATACGCATTAAATGAGGAGTGTAAATGCAGTTGTTCGAGTTGGTGTTAGAAGGGGAGGTGGGAAGGGAAATTTACCTGTAGAAGTAGTACATAAGAGATGGCATAAGACGGCCAAAGAACCCAAATGATGATGACAAAGATACCAAAGATGAAGTGTTAGAGCAACCCCGGGATTCAGCTATTTGCCCCAAGTTATTAAGATATACTAAACCTACTGTTGCACCGAAAAAATAAACCAAGAAATATAACCAGAAATTTATTTTTCTCAGCATCAACTTCACTCCAACTTCTTCTATAATACCAACCTCTTCTTGAACTTCACCCTCTTTCACCTCGTTCTTCATCCTTTCTTCACTATTATTCTCCTCCGTGGTAAAATGGTAGACTCTCAATTTTTCTCTATTTTCCTTTAGTTCCTTGATCTTCACTGAGAGTGGGACTAGAAGAGGCAAGAGAAGGGACAAAAGAATACCAGTCATGATACCTAGTGAAGATGCTTTGCTTGTGATAAATTGCAAGCTACTCAACACAGCATATATTCCAGTGGAAATTGTTATGGCAAACATCACAGCAAACCCAACACGCGTGTGTTTAGGACTTGTGGCATCAATTTCTCTGACTAGAGGAGCTGCTATTAGGCCAACTATCACAGGTAAGAGAGAGTTCAGGAAGAGAAATGCTTTAGCCTTTTTGTCAGGAAAAACAGCATCAACAACGTTGGCATAAATCTTCGCACTTAGTCCTTGGTAGCTAGTTGTTATTCCCACGGCAACTTGGCGATCTGATAGGAAGTTCCTTATGGTGACAACATAGCACACTGTGTTGATCCAACAAATGCTATTGCCAGCAAGAAAAGTTAGAAAGAACACATGCCAAAAGGACAAAGAGGAAATTTGGCGGGTTATGAAGAGATATTGCACACCATAACCAATTAAGCCAAGAGTTGAACCAATCAAGAGGACAAGCCAAAGGGGGAGGTAAACAGAAGCTAGGCCAGAAAACCAGCCAAAAAGCTTGCCTGCATCAGAGGCAAAGGCAAGGTTATTGAGTTGGACTTGGGAAATGGAAAGAAATTGCTTTAGCTCGGAAGAGTAAGCAGGGAAGTTAGTGTTTGTCCCAATTATGGCTTGGAGCCAAATGATGCCAACAAGGCTTAGCCATTGAAGAGTAGTAGAAGGCATGGTGAAGATTAAAGAAGTTTGAAGAGAGAAAAGAAAAACTTGAACGACCTTTTGCTAAGCTATTAAGAGGGTATGGGATATGTGAGGGTTTATATGTTAAGAAAAGGTGGAGTAACAGCTCAAGACACTATGGTGTGAAAGCTAAAGTCAGGAATATAATCCCACTTAGTGGAATAACGTTGGTGTAGTTGTAATTATGAATAGTTGTGTATGAAGTAACACAACACCATGCGTTTGGAATGAATTTGAATACAACTAATTAATATAAAAATCAAATTTACATTATGAATACATAAATTTGGACTTGAAATTGTTGTGTGTGTGGGAGAGAAACAGATCCATTATGTAATAATGGAAGCTGATATGGGTAGCTAGGATTTTGAAGTTAAATCTGAACACAACATAGAATCATTTGGCCATAAGGACATAAACGGAAACTTGAGTACATGAAGTGGTGAAAGAAGCACGATGGCTTAAATTTCTGGTTGTCGGTGAAATGGCCATCACATAGAACAGCCCCACCAATTTTTATCTCGCCTCTGTCCCTTCCATGTTATTTACACTTCGAATTTGGACTCTTTTCAAAGCAAGATTTTTACAAATTTTGTGTCTATGTGGCCCTTTAATACACAGTGGTTCCATTTTTTTTAATTTTTAATAACTTCACTAATCACTTTTAATATATAGAATATTCTTTTTAATCACCTTTTTATTTATTTATAAAATTCAAACATGATATATTTGTTTAAAAATTAATCATTTACACTTTCACGTATATATATATATATATATATATATATATATATATTTGAAATTGAGAGAATTTATACAACAAGGACGATCGTGTATGTTTCGTCATAGTGACGTGATAGATGACAGTATAGTATGATTGACATTTTTTTTTCACGTAAAATAAAATAAAAAACCCAAATACCCGTTATGAAAAACCTTACGTTGTAAAAATAATAATAAATTGATAATTTATTATTATATTAACATATATTAAGTTATTGACAGATAATATAAACGGTTATTAATTTTGTATACTTTGAGATTTTCATTTTATTTATTACATAACAAAAAATATTTTTTATATCAATATAATAGTAATAATAATATATAATTAATTTATTTGTTATTTAATTAATATCTATTTTATTATTGTTTTTTTTATATTAAACTTATATATCCTTATGATATATACATATGCATCTTTATTTTTTTTAATATTTAATAGAATTCATCTAAATAATATTTTATCTAAACCAATTTATCTAAACTTATTTATTATTATAAATTTTTTTCTCAACATCACATTTCTCCCCATCATTCATAAAAATATTACGGTAGAAGTGCGAAGCAGATACTATCCGAATTTAAACTCTTTTCATAATGTTAAATTAATTTTAAGAAAATTAAATTAAACTATTTTATTAATGTTTAAATTATAATTATTAATAAACATTTTAATAAATTTATTGAATTTAAAGTTTTAAATATTAAATTATACATTCAACTATTTAATTACTAAATAAAAAATAATTTTACTAATTATTTAATTTGTAATATATCTGAAACCTATTTGAAATTAAACAATTTATTAAAATAGTTTACATATAATCAGTTACAATTTAATCAATATATTTAACAATTATTTAGAAACGTAAAAATATGTTTTACAATTTAATTAGTAATTATTCAGATTGAAGTATTTATTTTAATTCTTAATCATGTAGAAATTCTTACATATTACACCTATTTTTAAAGATTTATATACTATTTTTTATTAAAAAAAATTTTTTTAATTACTTAATCGATACATATTTGACTAAAGACAATTTATATAGATAAATAAAAAATTAGTATTTAAACATCATTTATTGCAACAATAACGCATAAATTACAAACTTTATTCAAAATAGTGGTAAAAAATTCCATGTTATGTATGTTTCCTATATTTCACAATTTAATTATAATTAAAATAAAATTAGGTGATAGGAAATATCTTATTTAAAAGTTTGATTGATCTAAAAGTTTCTTTAATAACCTATTTTATAGAAAGTTCAAAAAATATCTTAATTATTAAAAAACATAACAACTAAATTAATTTAAATAAGACAAAATTTAAATTTATCAAATATAATATAATTTTTTATTTTTATAAATCACTTTATTTTAGTTATTGTAATCTTATTCTTTATTTTCTTATGTTATATAACTATGATATCTATATTGAATAAACTAAAAAAAATATTTTATTTCTAATAAATAGGGTGAAAATATGAATCAATAATGATCCATCACCAACCTACTAAAAATGTTAAAAACAGACTTCAAACCTTATTTAACTTGCCGAGGAATGGATTAGGAAGCTGGTGGACCAAATTAAAAAAAATTATTTAAATGATTTATTCTATTAAATTAATTTATAAATGATCAAGTTTAATTAAAGGATATAAAATGCTTTAATAATTTGTAGCTTAAATTTTAATTGAACATTGATTTTTGTTAGTATTAAAGAAATTAAATTTATAAGATACTGCAACCATACTAACAAACATATATTTTAACTGTTGAATAATAATAAAAAACTAAAAAAAAAAACAAGAACTTTAAATTTATTTTTTTATATTGAAAAAACTAACCCTAGATGACAAGACTGAATCGATTTTTTGACATTTAGGTTTTACATATATTTTTGAGGAAATAGTGATTTACTTCAATCAACACTAACTAGCTGGATCATCAAGTCTTATTCAATTAATGTGAAAGGGTTTGGATCATATTTGAAACATGCATGTTCTTCACAAACGTCCTAAACACAATCAACTCTTATATACCCATCATTTTCACCATCCACATCCATTTTTTCATTTAAATCAAATAATTATTTGATAATATAATATTTTAATAAAAAAAGGTGATACTATAAAGATATAAATTGAAAACAATTTCTTTTTCTAAGTTTAAATATCACACCCAATTCCACTCTTCAAGCAACAAACTCCGCATGAATTTGTTTTGACATATCCAAAAACGACAAATGATAAAGGAATTTTTATGATCGACAATTAGCTTTAATTATATAATATAATTGTCTTTTAGATTTTATCTTTAGTGAAAATGAAACATGAAATATTTTCTAATACATAAAAAACATACTTAAGATCATGTGACACATACAGTTATGAAACTCAAACATGACATTAATAAATTAAAGAGCAGGTGGAAGTACAAATATGTTCCCGTTAAGAATGATCTGAGATTAAGGTTTTGTAAAAGGTTAATGCAATTAATTAAATAGAGTAAGTTATTTGTTTAAGAACATTGCAGACATGATATCCATGTAGGGCAAATTCATTATGCTTGCGTAATATCCAAGTCAAACTATGTTTTTTTTTTTGTTAAATATTTATTGATCAAATTCATATATAATGGAAGAATTTCTCAAACTCACTAAAGTATAAATATAGATAAACAAACATAAATGCTTAGAAGTTGTTGGATTCTTTGAGAAAAAGTATCGTGAATGTCATTTCATTATTATGAATCTATAATATACAGTATATTATTTTTAATTCAAACTTTTAAGATAATATATTTATGAAAATTTCTCTTTATGTATTGTTTTTGTCACTTCTTATATAATGTAAAACTTTTACTTTTACTTGAATTATAATATAAATATTATTATTGAATGAGATTATTAAGTTCCACTTATTTTAATGCTGATAAGTTGGTCGGTTCAATCAACTAATGTTTTTATGGAATGAATTTTTTTAAGTTTCGCCCCATTTTACATAGATTCAACCAATCATATTGACTTTATTAAAAAGATATATTTTTTAAACTAAAATAAAATAAAATATGAGTTTAAAAAAAAATTACATGAAAAAAATTAATTTTTATTTTTAAATGTAATGATTCAATATAATCATTTAAAAAAACACTAACCTAAAAACTTACTCATGTGAAATGAATGTGTAAAGTATATTATAATTGAAAAAATAATATATAAATAATTTGTTTAATTTTACATAATTCATATGTAATTTATAATAAAATTTATTTTTATTTTATTTTTAAAAGACTTTTGCTATCAATTTTTTTATATAAATTGTCTGGTAAACATAGTGAATCTGTATAACTTTATTTAAATTATTGAAATCTAATGATCGAATAATCGAAAATTATAAACAGTTAGTTTTTTTTTAATCTCTTTTTAGAAAACAAAAACTATATATTTTTTTCAAAACTTATTGAATGATAGGTATGTGTGTGAAGACGAAAGGTGATATCTTGGAGAATTTTCAAAGAAATAGGGCCTAATGCTATTTATAAACGAAATCACTTGAAGGAAAAGCTTTCGACTTGAGTCGAATAATGTGCATTAATAATAATGGTTCCTTTTGTAATGGACCTAAAATTTTCAACCACACAAACCACTAAATAATGTAACATCGCCATGGATATCTGCCTCACGTCACCATGAAAAAGACCAAAACAATTAACGTCAACAAATTGTAATTTTTCCTCCTTTAAAAAAAATCATTTTTAACTATTTTTATTAAGATTAATTAATAACATTTGGTAATTTTTAGTTAGTAACCTTAACTTTGTCTTTAATTTTATAAATTAATAAGATATAACTTTATTTTTTAAAAACATTTTTATAAGTTTTAATTATTTTTTATTTTCACCCACTTTCAATACATTTATTGTTTTTTTTTTATATATATAAACTTGCATCTGAATGTTTAAAGTAATATTTTTTACTCAAGACAAAATTATACTTCCAAAATAACATTAAACTGTTATTACTATCTTTTATTCCTTGGTTAAGGCTTTTATACACAAACCAAAAAAATGCAATATCATAAAATGGTTTTGAAATTGTTAACATACTTTTTTTTTTTCATTTATACTCTACAATGAATACACACTAATGTATAGATTAATTAAAAATTAGGTTAAAAGTAAAGTTATAATTGACAAAAAAATACAAAAAATAATAACAAATTTTCTAAGAAAATATTTATTTGTTGAACTAAAAAGGTTGATACTTACAAAGTTATAGAGATAGTAATATATTTCATCAATTATGGTTTATTGAACTAAAAAAACCCACTCATAATTAAGTGTATTTTTCTAAAATAATTATTAATAAAATGAATATAGTTTATTTTCTTTTAAATAATCTGAACTTCTAATTTAATTCTTGTATATAAAAAAAGAGAATAATGCTTTTTGGTAAAGATTGTACTTTTAGTGAAATTTACTTTGTTTGGTCTAACGAAGAATGTTGAATAATTTTCATGAAATGATGAGTTAAAACTTTTTTATGGTTTTATATGTTTTTTTCTTTATTTATTGGAATTTAACGTATTTATATCAGCAACTCATGCAGTTTACTAAACCAACTGATTTATATAAATAAAACATACTTTCACAACATGATCACTCAAGAGAAAAAAAAAACTACAGGGTCCCACTATTTCTCACAAATTGAAAAAAAAAAAAAAATCTTTATCATCCTCTTCTCTTCTGCCAATAATATCTCTAGTCACAAAAATCAACTAATTGATCTTTCATTTTGTAAAAGTAAAATGTTTCGTATTTCTTCATGGATATATATACAACCCTTATCTGCTATGAGTCATCACTGCTGTCAGCTGTCAACTGAGTCATCTATTCATACTTCTAAACAGTGTCTTGGCACAACCCTAATACGATAGTGTTACGTAAAGTTCTATAATCGGATTCTTTTTTTGTTGGCATATTTAATTACAGAATCGATGTTGCTCTCACCCTGTGTTAGGACACACGTTTTGCCAGCAATAAATAACATTCTGATATGGAAAACATAAAAACTAGAATTATAACATGTCAGGATATCGATATGGCGCTGTAACTATTAACTATCCTGATAATCATATCTGAAGTGTATAAAAATCATATCTAAAGCGTGAAATAAAAAAATGTCATCAGTAATTTTTGTTCAGATGTATTCCAATCACTAGCTCTTAATGTTTCGCCAAACTGTTTTTTTTTTCTTATTTTCTTTTTAAAAAAATGGATCAAACACATTTTCTGAAAACTTTTAAGAAATTAAGCAACTTATTTTTTATAAAAGAAAAGAAAAAAAAACTAGGTTTTATTAAAAAAAAAAAAAGTGAAGAAGCTTTAAAACGCTGATTTTCTGTTCTTTCTCTCTCTTAACACTCTCTCCCATCTCTTTTTTTTTCTCCCTCACGAATCATTTGTTTTGAGCTAAAAGAAATGAAAATTCTTGGCTTCTACTTTACTTTTAAACTTTTGTTTCAAATTCAATGTTTAAATAATTTTGAAGACGGAAAAAATAAATTCAATGATAACCTCAATCCTATGCAGATGTTAAGCAGATCAAAGAAAGTACAAAATCCGGGAGCACCTTTGTCTGGAGAGAATGGAGAGTCTGATTGAATAAATATTTTGGCGAAAGCCCTACTGATATGACATCAGTGTTACGTACAACTATTCGTGTCATATTTAAAGTATTTTGAACTCTCCCCCTCACTCCCCTGCTTGAGGATTTTACAGAAGTCCATGTCCATGTCCAGTCAAATGGATGTTTGCCAGTGGTGAGTGGGTGAATTCATTATATGTGTGTAGTTGTTAGTGTGCACATTTTAGTGTACACTTTAGCAAAGGAGAGAAGAATATGGGCTTTCGTTTTCCATTTTCGTCTCCCTTATTTTCATTTATTAATTTGTTGTTTATCTCTTTAAACTTGTGCAATGAGGAAATTAAGTAAAATTATTTAGGGAAACCCAAATTGAGAAAAAAAAATGCTATCATAAAAATAAAAGACTGGGTTGACTTGATTCATGTTCTGTCAATAATTAAGAGTGTGCTTGCATATCAGCTCCATCCAACTAAATCCACATTCAATACAGACCAATCAACAGCAATCAAACCGATTTCTAAACGCACCCTTCCAAGAGAACATATAAACTTTCCTTAAATGGTGATATCTGCTGCCATCCTTAAACTATTTGCATCTCTCTGTCTGTCAAACACTTTGGAGTTTGGACACAATCTTGATCACTCGTGACAATCCTCTTAAACTGTAAAATTGTCCACAGTTCTGATGTAATCACCAAATACTGTTAACAAAAAGCCTAAAGTAATTCCTAACTTTTCAATGTGCTCTTGAATTGATTATTCCTTACTTTTCTTCTCCTCCTACGTTATGCAGCATAGTTAAGCCGTTTCAGTGAGTAAACCGGCTTCAGTTATCTTCAGTCCGAGTTTTTCAAGCATTTTGTAAATATCTGAAGAGCATTCATGCTCTCTGTCCCCAGCAATAAAGCGGTGAAGTTTACCCTGCACTTCAATCAAACTCCAACCAGCAACTTTGCCGGCAATTCTCTCACTCATTAATTCCCGAATTCTAACTACATCTTCCCACTTTCTTACTTTCGCATATATTCCAGCTAACTGCACGTAATGCCCATCATGGGTTGGATCCAACTCTATCAACTTATTCCCAATCTTCTCCCCCATCTCCACAAATCCATGAAGCCTGCATGCATCAAGCAGCGTCGCCCACATAACAGGATCTGGCGCAATTGCCATTTCCTCAATCAACTCAACTGCCTCATCAACTAAACCGGCATGAGCAAGGAGATCAACCATGCACCCATAGTGCTCCATGTCAGGTTGAATGCCATAACCATCCACCATCAACTTAAAGTAATGCTTCCCTTCACCAACCAAACCAGACCTACTACAAGCATTAAGCACACCCACAAATGTCACATTCACAGGACGAAAACCTTCATCAATGAACCTATGAAATAGTGCGAGTGCCTCCTTGGCACAATCATGCGAAGCCAGACCGCAGATCATGACATTCCATGTCCACTCATCCTTCTTCACCATCCCATCAAACAAGATTCTGGCCTTTTCAATGCAACCACACTTTGCATACATGTCAACCAAAGCAGTCCCTATATGAACAGTTATTGGGAATCTCATGGCCTCAACGGTGGAATGAATGAATCTCCCGTAACAAAGCAAACCCAACTGAGCAGAAACCGAAAGCAAGGTAACCAATATAGCTTCATTGGGCCTCATCCTCTTCTCCCTTATGTTTCTAAAACACTCCAACCCATCTTCAAAAAGCCCATTTTGAACATACCCCATTATCATAGTGCTCCAAGACACAACATCCCTTTCAGGCATTTCAGCAAACATCTTCTCCGCAAACCGAACATCCCCATTTCTCACCACACCAGCCAACATGGAGTTCCACGTGACCACGTCGCTACAAAGGGGATCTTCCTCAAACACCCTTTTTGAAGAATCAGCATCACAACACTCGAAATACAAGTGAATCAGCGCATTTCGGACAAATACGTGGCAGGCATAACCGAGCTTGATCACGTGCGAATGAATTTGAACACCCAATTGGTTGTGTACGCTGGTTTTTGAGTTCTTGGAGCAGGCATGTAGCAGGAAGGTGAAGGTGTACTCGTTGGGGCTGAGAAAACGGCGTCGCATTGCGGCGTAGAGAGAAAGAGAGAGAGGGGGCGAAGAGTTGGCTTTGGCGTGGCAGCGGATGAGGGAGTTGAAGGCGAAGACGGTGGGGAAGGGGATTGAGTTGAAGAGAGAGAGTGAGTATCGGAGAGGGAAGGGAACGCGTGAGGTGAGAGAAAGTAGAGGAAGAAGGTGAACGGTGATGCGGGCATAGCCCGACACGACGATATGTGCATGGGTTTGCTTGATTTGGTGTAGGAAAGGTTGTGGCGGGAGAGAACGAAATACTGAACGTGGAGAATTTGAAAGAAAGGGTTTGGTTTTTGTCATGAACAACATAAAGAAAATGGTTATTATGCAACACTCTAATATTATATATACACCCTCTCCTTTTCTTTTCTTTCTTTTTAAAGTTAGTTTTTTTTTTATAATAATTTGGCCAATTTCCCTTTGCTTTGTTATTTTTAAATTGGATAAATTTAAAAAAAAATTAATTATGAATAAATCATGCTTGTTTAACTACGACTTTTTATGAATGAAGTATAATTTTAGTTTTTTTACATATATTAACCCTTTTTTCGTATATTTTTTTATTTATATTTTAATGTATTAAGTTCAGTAATTTTTTTTCTTTAATTAAAATTATTTTTGACGATTTTAGTTTATTTTATTTTATTAATATGCTAATTGATTGACAATTTTAATTATTTTTTTTTATTAAATTTGTCAATTGATTTATGATTTTAGTTTATATATTTTAATTTTTATTTAGTAAAAGTTTGATTTTAATATTTATTATAAAATTAATTAATTATTATTTAGATGTCAATAATATTAAATAAGTTTTAAATATATTAAATTGTTAAATAGAAAAAAAGTTAATCATGGAATAATAAAAAAAGTTTAATAAATTGAGTAGAATATATTTTCTGCATATAAAGAAATTGTTCAAAATTATAATGATAAAATTTTGGGTTTGATGTCAAAAGAGTTATCAAATTTTTAAGGTGACATTTCATAAATTATCTAATTAAATATAATTAGTTCTGTGATTATAAAGAGTTTCAATATCTCTAATTTTTTTACACTTACATCATTGTTGTATTTTTTTTAACAATTTAACATATTTAAAATTTATTTAATATTATAAACGTCTAAATAATAAATAATTATTTATTTTATAAATTTTTAAATATTAAATATAAAATTAATATATATATATATATATATATATATATATATATATATATATATATATACTAAAGTCATCAATAATTAACTTCAATATTAAAGAATAAAAATAAAGTCGTCACATAAAATAAATTGAATTAAATTGGTCAGTCAAAATTTTTAAAGCACGACTTATTCGTATTCAAAATTATTAAAAATTTTACCTATTGATAAAAATATAATTTTTATATAACAATTATTATAAATACTTTTAATAAAATATTTTATCTAATTTTTATATTATATTAATTATTTTATTAGATTTGTAATAATTTTTAAAGATAAAATTAATTTTCACATCAATTATTAAGTAATATATATTATAATATTTATATAGTATTAATTATAAAAAATAATTACAATAAATTTAGATAATATATAATGCATTATTTTTATATACAGGATAACCCCTAAATTCAAGTATATGATTATATGTAACATAAAATTAACAACTATTTTAACTATTATGATTAAAAAATTAATAGAATAATTTATAATATATGAAAATAAAATAAAAAATTTATTTGTATAAAAATATATTTTATCTTTATTTTAATCATAGTTATGGTGGAAAATATAATAACTTATTAATAAATAATTTTAAATATAAATAAAATATTAAAATAATAAAATTTTATTATTTATCTTAACGTGTAATTTAACTTTAATGCATTCATATATTGAAAAAGAAAAGATATAAAGTTATTACTATTTGTCTCATACACATTGAAAAAAAAATTAAGAGTCTCTTGATAATTTAAAAATAAATAAATAAATTTGACTAGAAATTAATATACGTAAACATTAAAAAAATTATATTATAATGTTTTTTATAAATTAACTGAAAAAAAATTACGGAAACAATTATTCAATAAAAAATCTAACATTAGTGTTTATAGAATACAAGCATATAAAAGAATTGGCTTGTTTAACATATGATATACTTCAATTCTTGACTATGTTTGCTGGTTAGATATGCATGTAGACTTAAATTAATATTTTTTGAAAAGAAGAATTATTCATTAATTAGTAATTTAATTATTTAAGTATTAGTGTTATAAGAATACTTTTATATTCAATTTTCTGATTAAAAAAAGAAGAAAAGACTAAAGTTAGGTAAGAATGTGACAATTTTGTCGTTAGTGTCAAATTAAAAATTATAAGAATGGGCACGCAAATTGGAGATGAGACACTAATTTGTCCAATAAAAATGTTTCATTTATTTATGTATTAACTTATCATTAAATATTTTGAAGTGATTAAAAAAACGGTGGAACTTAATTTTTTTAGTAGACTTTTATATAAAAACGTAGTTATTTTATTTGAATTTATTTTAACAATTTCATGCACACATAGACATTGGTGAAATGGACGTTGCTGGCACCCTCACCCTCATTCAGGCCACCCCTGTTTTATCCTCTTCGCGTCACGAAGACCGGACAGGCTGGCCGTGTAAGCCTTCAAAATTAACTTATCCGCTTACACTTATATAATAATTAAAACAAAATTATAATGGACACATTTTTATTATATTATTTTTCTAAAAGTTTGATTTATAAAAATTAAAATATAATATAATAATAAGTTCTCTTTTAAAAAATAATGATTATAAAATTTAATTATATATTTTATTATTAATATGTTTACTTTTATAATTTTTTATTTATCTTTGAAAAATTTTCCAATAATTAATTATGATATTCATATA